TTTATATATATATATATATATATATAAACATTTTTATCTAAGAAAATGATATTACAATACCAACAAAAGAAGTTGAGCTTCTTGAACATGCATTGAACTGAGTTCATTTGGCTTGTTAAATTTTGTAAACTGTATGATTCAGATCTCAGGGGAACAGCAGCTCATAAGAGACGTCGTTAGAGGCGTTGCCGTGAGTTAACTGTTGCAGCAGTAAAACATAATAAGGTACATATTAAACATTGATAGCAAAGTTGAAAGAAGCTCGAAAACTTATGCGAATTACGAGAATCAGTGGGATGTAATATATGCACACATAGCGAAGCCTGTTAACGAAAACAGAATATGCAGAAAAAATATTTGTTTAACATTTTAAGAAAAGCAGGAAATTTACCAGCAAATTCAGTAAAGAGGAATTTATAGATAATTGGTGCGTGCTTGTGAAAATAAAAATTATACATATCCTGTGCAAGTGTCTGAAAAAATTAGCAGCTGTAAGTAACTGGCATAAGGATCTTCAACCTTCAGCAAGTTATAAAAAAGTGATGAAAATCTTAAACCGTTGTAGGTAGTTGGTTTAAGTTTCTTAAAACATCAGTAGTTGCAAGAAACTGGTGTACTTTTATCAAATTATGACTGGTCGAGAGTTGAGATAACTATTATGCGTTTCAGAAAAGAGTAGTTATAGGTAATTGGTCAAAGTCTTGGACAGTTGTAGTTAGTTGGTTTAAGTTTCTTAAATCATCAATAGTTGCAAGAAACTGGTGTACTTTTCTCAAATTATGACTAGTTGAGAGTTGAGATAACTATTATGCGTTTCAGAAATGAGTAGTTATAGGAAAGTGGTGAAAGTCTCCGAAACTATATTCGGTAAAGTTCACTTAAGTTCCGATACTTCATTGAGAAGATCTGCTTAAGCTAGTTTTTATTATTTATAATTTCATTAAAACTGACCTTACATAAATACATGATTAGTGCCCAGTGAAACCCGTTGTCTTCAAAAATATTTACTAGCGTTCTTGACTCTAGTTTCACTTAGAAAACAAATTCCAGTATTTTAAATTACTTTGTCTTTGGCATTGTTTTCATAAGACCTTGTCTGATTAACTAGTTTTGGTTATAAAGAAATGGCTTTTCAAAATGAAATATTGCTCTTGCCCTCTAAACTAGTACCAGTTCAGTAAAGTTTTCACCATAGGCTACGAAAGTGCAGTGGCTGTATTTAATTTCACGCAGTTAGAAAAACGTGAAAAGGAATATAACTCCGAATGAAGTTATTTTTCATATTATGCAAAACCAATTCATCCTAAAATTTGTAACAATTCCGTTTTACTTAGATTTGAAAAAAAAAAAGGTGACATTTAATAATTGACATGAAGACTCCCTCTTTATTCAAATATTATTAATTGATACCAGGAAACAAAAAATAATAACACATCTTTTTTTTTTGCTTTTTCCAGCATTTTTTTTTTGCAATATGGAAAATGGTATTGTGAGACGTAATTTATAATTATCATATTTAGCTTCCCAGTGGCTTAGCGTTAAGTCTGAAGGCCTATAACGCTAAACACCAGATTTCGGTACTCGTGATGGGCACAGGAATATAGCCCATTGTGTAGCTCTGTCTTTAATAACAAATAAACAAAAGATTAAAATATTTCTTAATGCATTAAAAATATAAAGTAAAGTATATACAAGTAATACTAGTGACATAAAAATGTTCTTTCTGTGTGTAAAATTATATGTATATATGACATATTACAAAACCGTCATAAATTAAAATATTGAAAAATTTGGCAATGATTACGACAAAAACTTGTATTTGGGTTACAAAACCGTGAATGATTTATACTAGCTGACGTATCCGCCCAACGTACGAAGAAGATATACCCCCCAACCCATTCCCGGCGAGTGACAATGGGGTTGATATCCTAATGCCAACTTACGTATGTCATTCCCAGCCTTACAAATTTGATAGATATCAATAGATTATTACGAGGAACATAAAGAGCTCGCAGAGAGGCTGACATAAAAGGAGCAGATCCTTTTGCCGGGGGACCTAAGGAAATATGCCAAGTTTGGTTGAGATCGGTTAAACATTGAAGGCGTGAAAGGAGAAGCACAGACAGAAAGCACCCCCTGTGTGTGTGTGATATGAAGTCAGTACCGCCCACAGAAGTGTTTGAGTCCTTGGCAAGTCTTTGTTTGGTCCACCCCACTGGGCTGTTTTATTTTATACATGTGAAAATAAAACAAGTTGGCGCAGGCCAAGCATGGTGTGTTCAGATTTGAATGCTAACCCCTCTATGCCTTCGAAGTTAGAGACTAATAAAAAACGCCGAGAACACGTGGAGGGGGGGGGGGTAACGGAGGATGGCGTTGAGTGTGAGAATCCGAACGTTGCCCCCCATGTTAATTCGTTGAAGACATTAACAGTGCCCCCTTCCCTGACGAGTGGCATGGGGAGTCAGATCCGGACACCGACCCCCATAAAACTCACTTGTTGTGTTGTTACTACATAATTCAAAAAAGAAACAAGAACTTATATTTAACATAAATACACAACTGATGTGTTTTCTTTAAATATATACTCTCTCTCTCTCTATATATATATATATGTAGATATATGTGTTTGTGTGTATAAATTTACAAAAAAGAAACTGGAAAATACAGCCTTTCATTATGAAAAATGGCTTTCACTTAGTACTCTTATTCACTGAACTACAGCCAGTTCAGTAAAGTTTCATCATTGGTCACTAGAGGGCGGTAGTTGCAAGTTCCCTCTACTTATTCTCTTTAGATCACCTGTTCTCCGTCGAATAGGATTTACTCTTCTTGAAGTATTGCTGTCATCACCTGAGTACCTACTGTTAACATGTTTTCTCTACAAACTAAATGTTTTTGCACTTCTTTGTTTGCTACAAAAGCATAACGATGTTTTATAAACTGATAAACATTTTATAACTTTGCTCGTTTCGTAAGGTGTATAAGTACAATAAGTTTTCTCCAAAGTCTCCTACTGCTGATTTGTGTTAGTTACGATGGTGTACCGAGATATGCCTTTTGAGTCAACAGTCTTTTATAAAAAGTACCAAAAGTAACGCATGAAGGTTCCCAGCACAGATATTCTCGTGATCCTTTTACTTTTCGTTTTCTATTTCTGTCCACCAAAACTGTCCATTGCTGGTCAGTATAAGGCGGTGATTCTCCAGCATGATAGAGAATGTTTTGAAAACTTCTCCATTATGGACCAAGTGATGTCTCGTGCCATGAATCAACCTGAACTGAAATGGTCTTCCAGAGTGACTAATGTTAAGTTGGAAAACCGCCAACCACTCCCACAGTGTCGCAGTGGGTATCTTTATCCTTTCGTCAAGGCCTTGAATGAGAAGAATATTCAAGCTGTGGTAGGAGCTGTAGCTGACCATGTATGTGAGGCTGCAGCTACACTGGCCAGTGTCCATGGGAAATTGTATGTTTCGTGGAGTTGTACAGCTTCTTCGTTGTCTGACAAAATACTATATCCAACCTTCGCCCGTACTGTGCCCTCAGCTGCTGCTACTGCTCGGGCTCTGGCGACCTTTGTTGCAGAACTGCGTTGGAAGTATTCTGTGCTGCTAGTGGCTAATGACGAGACCTGGCGCCGACTGGCCGAAAAACTGGACGCCGCAATTAGGTACCAAGGATTCGTCGTCCGTGATTTTATCATCTTAGATATTAGAGCGTCAGTTGAAGAGATCGAGAATTTGATGTTGACCATTAGAGCACCTGTTAAAGGTACAGAAACGAAACTTATCTTTACACTAGGATTAGAGTGTGAAATGGTTAAATGCCGTTCCTCTTGAACAATTAAGTATACTTAAATCAGTTGTAGTTGAATTATATATATATATATATTAAATATAGTGGATTAATTTGATGTTGACCGTTAGAGCACATGTTAAAGGTACAGAAACGAAACTTATCTTTACACTAGGATTATAGTGTGAAATGGTTAAATACCGTTCCTCTTGAACAATTAAGTATACTTAAATCAGTTGTAGTTGAATTATATATATATATATATTAAATATAGTGGATT